AAGAAACTTGGCTACACACAAATTCTGCTATTTGATGATCCTCTATGTGATTATAAGGAGCCTGGTTGCACGGTGGTTAAACGCTCAGCTGCTAACTGAAAGGTTGGTGGTTCGAACTCACCAGCCCCTCCATGGGAGAAAGATATGGTAGTTTGTGCCCATAAAGATTACAGCCTTGGAAACCCTATGGGGCAGTTCTACTCTGTCCTATAGGGTTACTATAAGCTGGAATCGACTCGATGGCAAGGGGTTTGGGTTTTGGCTATATGTTGATAAAGGGCCCTGGTGGCACAAATGGTTAAGTGCTCAGCTGCTAACCCAAAGGTTGATGGTTTGAACCCGCTGAGTCACTCCACGGGAGAAAGACTTGGCGATCTGCTTTCGTAAAGATTACAGTCAAGTAAACGCTATGGGGCAGTTCAACTCTGTCACAGGGGGTCACTATGAGTCAAAATTAACTCAATGGCACCCAACAACAACAACTACATGATGATAGACACAGAGTGAAAAAACAAATCAAGAGGCCTAGAATCCTTTTTGGGAGATAGACAGAATCTATGCATTATCTGAATACCAGCTGAAAGCAAAGTTTTGTGTTAGGAACTTGTGGATATAAAGATGAATCAGACATATTGTCTTACTTTCCTATTGCTCCTTTAACAAATCACCACAAATTTAGTGGCTTAAAGCAACACATACTTATTATCTTGCAGTTCTGGAGGTCAGAAGTTGAAATGAGTCTCATTGGCTCAAATCAAGGTACGTTAGGGCTGTGTTCCTTCTAGAGGCTCTAGGAGGAATTTGTTTTTGTTTTTTGCCTTTTCCTACTTCTAGAGGCTTCAAGTTTATCCAAATTTCTGCACCAACCTCTAAGGCCAAAGATGAAGAAATTGAAGATTTTTACCAACTTCTGCAGTCTGAAATTGATCGAACATGCAATCAGGATGCACTGATAGTTACTGGTGATTGGAATGTGAAAGTTGGAAACAAAGAAGAAGGATCAGTAGTTGGAAAATATGGCCTTAGGGATAGAAATGATGCCGGAGATTGCATGATTCAGTTTTGCGAGCCCAACAACTTCTTCACTGCAAATACCTTTTTTCACCAACGTAAACTGCAACTATACATGTGGACCACGCCAGATGGAATACACAGGAATCAAATCGACTACACCTGTGGAAAGAGATGATGGAAAAGCTCAATATCATCAGTCAGAACAAGGCCAGGGGCCAACTTTGGATCAGACCATCAATTACTCACATGCAAGTTCAAGTTGAAATTGAAGAAAATTAGAACAATTCAGCGAGAGCCAGTGTACAACCTTGAGTATATCCCACATGAATTTAGAGACTACCTCAAGAATAGATTTGATGCATTCAACACAAATGACCGAAGACCAGATGATTTGTGGAATAACATCAAGGACATCATGCATGAAGAAAGCAAGAGGTCATTTAAAAGACAGGAGAGAACGAAAAGACCTAAATGGATGTCAGAAGAGATTCTGAAATTTGCTCTTGAATGTCGAGTAGCTTAGGCAAAAGGAAAAAATGAAGTAAAAGAGCTGAACAGAAGATTTCAAAAGGCGGCTAGAGAAGACAAAGTAAAGTAGTATGATGACATGTGCAAAGACCTGGAGATAGAAAACCAAAAGAGAAGAACACGCTCAGTATTTCTCAAGCAGAAGGAACTGAAGAAAAAATTCAAGCCTTGAGTTGCAATACCTGAAGGATTCTGTGGGGAAAATATTAAACGATGCAGAAAGCATCAAAAGAAGATGGACGGAAGGCACTGATGAAAAACAAGGCTCTGAGAATTGACGGAATACCAATTGAGATGTTTCAACAAATGGATGCTGCGCTGGAAGTGCTCACTTGTCTAAGCCAAGAAATTTGGAAGACAGCTACCTGGCCAACCGACTGGAAGAGATCCATATTTATGCCTATTCCCAAGAAAGGTGATCCAACCGAATGTGGAAATTATCAAACAATAGTATTAATATTACACACAAGTAAAATTTTGCTGAAGATCATTCAAAAGCGGCTGCAGCAGTATATTGACAGGGAACTGCCAGAAATTCAAGCCGGATTTAGAAGAGGACTTGGAACAAGGGGTATCATTGCTGATGTCAGATGGATCCTGGCTGAAAGCAGAGAATACCAGAAAGATGTTTACCTGTGTTTTATTGACTATGCTAAGGCATTCAACTGTGTGGATCATAAAAAATTATGGATAACATTGCAGAGAATGCGAATTCTGGAACACTTAATTGTGCTCATAAGGAATCTGTTCATGGATCAAGAGGCAGTCGTTTGAACAGAACAAGGGGATTCTGCATGGTATAAAGTCAGGAAAGGTGTGGGTGTCAGGGTAGTATCTTCTCACCATACCTATTCAATCTGTATGCTGAGCAAATACTCCGAGAATCTGGACTATATGAAGAAGACCGGGCATCAAGATTGCAGGAAGACTCATTAACAACCTGCATTGTGCAGATGACACAACCTTGCCTACTGAAAGTGAAGAGGACTTGAAGCACTTACTGATGACGACCAAAGACTACAGCCTTCAGTATGGATTACACCCCAACATAAAGAAAACAAAAATCCTCACCACTGGACCAATAAGCAACATCATGATAAACAGAGAAAAGATTGAGGTTGTCAAGGATTTCATTTTACCTGGATCCACAATCAACACTCATGGAAGCAGCAGTCAAGAAATCAAAAGATGCATTGCATTGGGTAAATGTGCTGCAAAATACCTCTTTAAAGTGTTGAAAAGCAATCATGTCACCTTGAGGAATAAGGTGCGCCTGACCCAAGCCATGGTGTTTTCAAACACCTCATATGCATGCGAAAGCTGGTCAATGAATAAGCAAGACCGAAGAAGAATTGATGCTTTTGAATTGTGGTGTTGGCGAAGAATACTGAATATACCATGAACTGCTAAAAGAATAAACAAATCTATCTTGGAAGAAGTACAGCCAGAATGCTTCTTAGAAGCAAGGATGGTGAGACTTTGTCTCACGTACTTTGAACGTGTTATCAGGAGGGATCAGTCCCTGGAGAAGGACATCATACTTAGGAGAGTAGAGGGTCAGCGAAAAAGAGGAAGACCCTCAATGAGATGAATTGACACAGTGGCTGCAATAATGGTCTGAAGCATAGCAACAATTTTGAGGATGGCGCAGGACCGGGCAGTGTTTTATTCTGTTGTGCACAGGGTCACTATGAGTCGGAGCAGACTCAACAGCACCTAACAAAAACAAGAGGCTTCCCATACTTCCTGGCTTGTAGCCCCCTTCCATCTTCAAAGGCCAGCAACACATCACTCCAACCTCTGCTTCCACTGTCACATCTCCTTCTCTGACTGTCCTGCCTCCCTCTTTTGTTTATAAGGACCCTTATGATTACAGTGAATCTACCTGGATGATCTAAAATAATCTCCCCATCTCAAGCTCAACTGATTAGCAACCTTAATTCCACCTGCAACTGTAATTCCCCTTTACCTAACATATTCACAGGTTGTGGGGATTAGCACGTGGACATCATTGGGAGGGGCATTGTTCTGTCTACCACACATGTCTTCCTGACTTCAAAGATTAATAGGGGAGATAAGAAAAAAAACATGTAATCAGAGTGGTGCAGCTAAAGTGGTCTGAGAGTTCAGGGTGAGAACAACTATTCCAACTAAGAGAATCGAGAAGCTCTTCTCAGAGACTATATAGTCACCAGCCAAGAAATTTATCCAAGGTGCCTACTATGTTAAGAACTTTTGGATTCCTAATACCATGTGGCATTTGTGAGCCACATTGCACATTAAATGGATCATACAAAAGATCATAGTAAGCAGCTGATCCCAGGCAGGATCACAGAAAGCAGCTGATCAGTCCTTGTCAGGGAGTGATATGCAGTGGCTGCATGGTGGCAGGATTTCTATTGTGAACAGTGCTGCGATGAACATGGGTGTGCATATGTCTATTCATGTGATGACTCTTATTTCTCTAGGATATATTCTGAGGAGCAGGATTGCTGGATTGTATGGTACTTCTATTTCTAGCTTTTTAAGGAAGCGCCAAATCGATTTTCAAAGTGGTTGTACCATTTTACATTCCCACCAACAGTGTATAAGTGTTCCAGTCTCTCCACAACCTCTCCAACATTTATTATTTTGTGTTTTTTGGATTAATGCTAGCCTTGTTGAGGTGAGATGGTATCTCAGTGTAGTTTTGATTTGCATTTCTCTGATGGCTAATGATCGTGAGCATTTTCTCTTGTGTCTGTTAACTGCCTGAATGTCTTCTTTTGTGAAATGCCTGTTCATATCCTTTGCCCATTTTTTAATTGGGTTATTTGCTTTTTTGTTGTTGAGGTTTTACAGTATCTTGTAGATTTTAGAGATTAGATGCTGATCGGATTTGTCGTAGCCAAAAGTTTTTTCTCAGTCTGTAGGTCGTCTTTTTGCTCTTTTGGTGAAGTCTTTTGATGAGCATAACTTTGATTTTTAGGAGCTCCCAGTTATCTAGTGTCTTTTCTGGTGTTTATGCATTGTTACGTGTGGTTCGTATTCTGCTTATGCCATGTATTAGGGCTCCTAGCATTGTCCCTAATTTTTCTTCCATGATCTTTATCGTTTTCGATTTCATATTTAGTCAGGTACCTAGAATTCTTAACCGAGGCCTAGGTTGTGGTTCTGAGAGACACACCTACCTGATCACATGCTTTTCCTTGCAACAATGACCTCATTGTCTACACACATCCCTGTTTAGCCAATCTTATCGGACTGCTTCTCAGTCTACGTGAACTCGAACTAGAAAAACACATTTAACGGCTGTTAAAAAAAAATTGAAAGTCTGTCTTTAAAAACAAGAAATATTTTCTGTAAGATTTGGTGTTCTGGTTAAAGGAAAATATTGTTGGACTCATGCAAACTTTGCTTGTCTTCTATCTCCAAGGTCATATCTAAGCCACCAGAAACAGTTGGCCTGATTCCTAGATCCCAGGAGCTCCTTTCCCTCCTTCTCTGCTGATGTCCAGAAATAATAACAACCTCTTTCATTTGTGTGACTCAAGGTACACGAGACCCAAAGTATTTCACTGTGTGTTTACCCTGAGGGAATGCCCGGGTGAGTTCCTGGTGGACCCCTAGACCCTGGGCAAAGATGCCATCCAGATCCATGATCCCCTAATAAATGCAGTGTATTCAAGGATATGTAAGGTTTTTAAGAAATGAGGTGCCCTGTTTTTCTTTGCCAAACATTGAACAATATTCTGTTATGATTCATAAGATTTTCCATACCAATGATCATGAAGACAGCACAGGACCAGGCAATGTTTTGTTCTGTTATACATAAGGTCACCATGAGTCAGAGCTGACTCCATAGCAACTAACAACAATAATCTTTCTTTAGGCCTTGCATAAACTTTTCTTATTCCTTTTTATTTCACTCTTTCCATAATTTATTAATTCAACAAACATTATGGAGGAGCTACAGTATGCAAGGGGCTGATTAGGAGCTGAGGATTCAGCTAAGAACAAGACTAAGGAGGTCTTTGCCTTCATGGAGTTTACATTCTAGTGAGAGGGTGAGATAGTGAACAAGTAAGCAAATTAATTAATGAAATGGCCTCAGATTGTAAGTACCAGGAAGTCAGTAGAGAATAACATGGGGAAAGCATTTTATTTCTCATTCATTGAAATACGTGTGCTTGGGCAAGTATCTGCAGGTATGTGAATAACACTGAGCTAGTTTTTAGGGGCCAACTCCTAAAGGAGAAGGTTTGGGTCAGTCTTCTTAGTAAAGGAGAGAAAAAGAAAACCTAAAATGCCAGGGCAATTTTTCTTGTGAGGAAGTCCCAGAGACATGAGATGCTTTTGGGTTCTGTAAGGTCCGTAGGGGCCAGGACATAGCTTGTTTATCACAGTATCCAGTGCGTAGCCCTGTGAATTTTCTTGTCTTCTATCTCCTGAAGTCATTTGGTTATCGACTTCCTGGCATATAGAAGATGCTCCAAAAATTATAATTCATGGAAAACTCAACTGGTCCTGAAAAACATACATTATGGGACCAGTTCTTCCTTTTGTCCTAAGTAGAAGAGAATCCAGCAGTGTCTTGAGTGGCGAACAGTGAGTACTGCGCAGGCACCTTCCCATGCATGGCTGATTTAGATGGCTCTGGGCAGGACCTCCTGAGAAAGCATTTGGTAAGGAGTGGCAATTGGCTCAGGGATGCAAGAACTTCCTTCATGGCCTCTTTGAGGAGGTCAAAACCGCAGGAGGACACCACTTAAACAAGTATCAAGACATTGGTGCTGGCTGGTTGGATGTTTGAAAAGAGATTATCTCTTGCGGCCAGACTGCTATTTACCAGAAGAAAATCAACACTCTTGGTCCACTCTGGGAAGGGTTCATTGGGAAAACATCCCATTATAGCATTTACCCTCCTGTAATTTACTTGGTTGTGCACACATCAGTCTCTTATTCCACTAGTCCATAAGCATCTCTGGTGGCAGGTTTAAAATATCTTCAGGGAAGTAGGGGCTAAAGCTTGTTGTGAAGCTGCATTTTAGTAGTAAGCATATGTCTTGAGATTATAGATTTTAGATCAATAAAAATAGCATATTTTTAAAACCCTTTTCATAGATTTCCCACTTTTCATTTGCAATTGTGATCACATGTTTCCTAGGTGACTTTTCGATAGCCGCTGAAGACTATAGTCAGGCCAAGTCCCCACCCACCACAGGACCCCCCACCCTCACCCTTGGAGCCTTTATCTTGTTGATCTTTTTAATCCCCAATGTTTAGCACAGTGGTTTAGTAAGTGATTGTTGCACTGAGTATAAATGCAAAGAAATAAAGAAGTAATAAATCAAAGAAAACCTAGAATTACAAGTGCTAATCCTATCTCCCACTACCTGTGTTTTGGATGTTTCCCATCATCAATTATTTTTAGCATTTCCAATGTTATTTGGCTAATACAGCAGATAGCGATAGGTGAATCATGCTTAATTCTAAAATTCATCTCAAGGCCATTCCAAACAGATATTGTCTTAGAATGTTGTTGTTGTTAGATGCTGTCGAGTAGATTTCGACTCATTGTGACCCCATACGACGGAGTAGAGCTGCCCCCATGAGGTTTTCTAGGCTGTAATCTTTACTGAAGCAGATCGGCAGATCTTTCTCCCTTGGAGCAGCTGGGTGGGTTTGACCTGCCAACCTTTGGTTAGTAGCCAAGCACTTAACCATTGTGCCACCAGGGCTCCTTATTGTCTTAGGATAGTTCATTTAAATGTGTGAACTGCTAAGATCATTTACAAGCTGAGTGTGGGCCAGTGTGTTTATAACTGCTGCCCTTGTTCTTTCTCCCCCAACCAAAAAACTTTGACCCCAGTAGCCTCCAAACCTTCTGTCAGGCCCGGTGCAAGACTCCGAGACTAAAGAGCCCCTGGAGATTAATAAACTACCGGTTCAGGAGGACTGTCCACGTAAGCCCCATAAACTTTCCCTCCATAAGATATGGCCTTAGGAAGAGATCTGGGCTAAAACTATCATTGCTGGGCCAATGCCAACGGAGAATATCATATTCCCAGCTTAATAAAAAAAGAAAATGTAAGTTGAATCCAAATGAAATATAATTCTATTTTCTTTTTATCCAAGTGATTTCAGTGGACAATGGCTAGGAACTCTGCTCAGAGCAAATTAAATGAGTCCTCTGATACATCACAGTGGCTCTTAGGGCAGTGATGAGAGTGGACTCTGAGAGGGGAGCTAAGGCCACTGCTCCCAAGTCACGTATCAGAATGTATGCTAAGAGAGGGAAGTGTGGGCAATTTAAAGCTCTATTCTAAACCAGTCGATGAGGAGATGATTCCAACTCATGGCAACCCCATGTGTGTCAGAGTAGAACTGTTCTCCATAGGGTTTTCAATGGCTCTGATCTTTAGGAAGTAATCATCGGCCTTTCTTCCAAGACGCCTCTGGGTGGGTTTGAACCCTCAACCTTTGGTTAGTAGTCGAGTGTTTAACTGTTTGTACCACCCTTCTGTCCCTAAAATTCTGATATTCTTCCCCGAAGGAGTATTAATCTCCTGCAAAATCACTGCTGTGAACAGTAAGGAGTCATAGAAAGTTCTTGAGCAGGGGAGTGACATGATCAAGATAGTGTTTAGGAAGCTGAATTTGTCAGATCGCAATAAATATTCATTGAATAAATGAGTGATTCAGTTAAAGATCAAGACAGAGACATGAATCTGGCTACTTCTGAATATGGATTTCAACAAAGTCCTGTGAAAAAGGGGTCTGAAACTGATACCCAATCAATACCACAATTATAGCTTTAGGTTATTTATAGCTTTCCAATTTGTTTATGCTTAAATTAATGTAACAGAAATGTTGAATAAATTTGACTTGTGGGATGTGATAAAAGCATCCCTTTTTTCTGGTTCTTACCGATCCTATGAAAGGAGCCCTGGTGGTGCAATGGTTAAGTTCTCAGCCGCTAACTGAAAGCTTGGTGGCCAGAACCCAGCAGCCACTCCATGGGAGGAAAGATCTAGGAAACCCTATGGGCCAGTTCCAGTCTGTCACCTGGGGTTGCTATGAGTTGGAATCGACTTGATGGCACACATCAACAACATTGATCCTGTAAAGGTAATCTTTCCCTACCCTGGATGAAAATGTTTCACCCATAGGTAATATACATGGTAAGTCCTGTGGTCATTTTAAGTCACAAGCAGCCTGCTTCACACACTGGAATATGCTGTCCCTGGAAATAATAAAAACCCTGAACTTTACTTAATGTCAAATCTCCACCCCTTCTCAGGCCATGCCACTTGTGGGCTGGTTGCCTGCAGAGAGACAGGGAGCCTCTATTCCCTCTTTTCCTGTTGCTCCTCCCCCATTAGGCTCACCCTTAGGGTTGGAACACAGAGACAGAAAGGGGAAATGGGAGTAGACAAACTTTTTTTTCAACTGTAATCACCATAACTTGGCTTTGTGCTCTCTGAGACTGGCTGACGTTTAAAGCTAATATTCTCTTAAGGGCACTTTTGGGGGTTCACCTGCTGGGATTCTCTGGAGATGTGGTGATGCCTTTTCTTCAGCTGGCAGCTCTCTGTCATCCTCCCTTTTCTGAGGATCTGCCCACACACTCTGCTGAGTCAAATTGCCCCTTCCAGGTAGTCCTCTTGGGTAGATCCTGAAACAGTCTCCGGATGACCAGTCTTCTGTAGGGCCCACATTGGGAACCATCACTTGTCCTGCCACTGCAGGGGGTGGTGGTGCTGTAATTTCCCACACGCAGCAGCTACTTGCCTTGGCTCCACTGCCCCCAACACTGCTTACCAGACTCTCCCCTACTCTTCAAATTTTCCTGGGCAGAAGGCAGCCCTTAGCTCTCTGTGTCTCCAAACTCTGGGTGACACATGTCAGGCTCTCAAAGTAGCTATGTTGAGGCCCCCAATCAGGCTTAAGGGGGCAGTTCGGGTTGTCCCTCACCTATCATTGCCTCATGAGGGACAGGACTTGAGGCTCACAGCACAGCTTTCTCCAAAGAAATTCTTCTCACCAGAATCTTTCCTCTTGCTTCTCACTTTCTAACAAACTTTTATACTTTGGAGGTGAGAAAGAAGCCTGTGAATAAATGGTCTGAATTTTTGAAATCGATTATCAGATTTTGTTTTGTTTATAGATTCTACTTATGATGTTCTGTCTCATATTCCCTTTGGTACCTGAGAGATATAATATCAGTGCCTCAGGAGAAACTGAGGTGAGATGTGTTCTATTTTAACATCAAGTTACATTCACTTGAACTCTATGCATAGCGTTCTATAAAGTTGCTTCAACTCTTCTCACTTAATATTCTTGTCCTTTTAAAGCATGAAGTTAAAAGAACTTCCAAGGTACTGAGACAAATTCATAACTGGCATTTGCAATCTTTATTGATTGCAACTGCTGCCTGACCAGCAGGTGCTGCTCTGAGTTGTACAGGAGCTTACAAAATCCTATGAAAAAGAGATACGAAATTGATTTCCAGTCAATACCATACTTAAAGCTTTAGGTTATTTATAGCTTT